TGACCTACGCGGTCCGGGTGGCAAACAGATGACCAGGCCGTGCGACCTGGGAGCAGGGTTAAGAGCCGCGGAGACTGAACTCAGGTATATAATTTACCGCGTCTCCGCTGCCGTGATTTTCAGCCGCCTCCGTGTTGCGGTTGAACTTCGGGGATTCCGCCAGCCCTTCAAATCACTCTCCCTGCCTCCCAGGCCTGTGTATGGAGGTTTTATTGGGGGGGGGGCGGGGGGGCGAGGAGAGAGAAAGAGAAATATCGAGGTGACAGAGGAGCCTTGGTCGGTTGCCTCCCACAGGCGCCCCAACCAGGGACCGAACCCCCAACCGTTCGGTTGTGCGAGGAAGAGGCTCCAACCAAACCAGCCCGCCGGCCAGGGCCTGCAGGCCACCTCACACCCCGACCCCTCTGCTCTGCTCGCCCAGCCCCAGCGCACCCAGGCGGCCCGTGTCCCCCCCCCCCCCGTCTCGCTGGGCGTCTCGGGGCAGTCCAGCCGGGACCGCACACCCAAGAGACTGGGGGACTCTCTCCCTCCTCCGCCTGCCACTTTTCTTGTGTCCTGTTGAGAAGAAATACGACCGTCCCGTTCAGTGCCTTATCCATACACTGCATTTTCATTTTCCGGATAGAGGCGCTCACATTAGGTACTGACAAATAAAACCCAAAGCCAAGCGCAAAGAGTATTTAAAAAATCTTTAATATTGAGTATTGAGCTGTGCCCTTGAGGCACCCGGAAGTAAAAAGGAGAAAACTGTATATGAACAATGATTAATTGAAAAAAAAAATCTTTGCTGCTCACGGGGCGCTCTCAGGCGGTGCCGGGGCAGTGCCCTTCGCAGCCCCGCCCGCCCCACCCCCACCCCCAGCCCCACCCCCACCCGGGGCAGATTCTCCCGCCCTTGGCCCCGGGGTCTCCCCGCGAACCGCGGACGGGTGTGGCGCTCCGAGTCCGCACTTGGTCTCTATTTCACAGGCTGCCCCTCAGCCACCGCCGTGTGTTTGGCCCGGACGCAGGCCAGGCAGGGGGCCTTGCGGCTGGGCAGGAGGTGACGAGCCCGAGCCCGGGCCAGGTGGCAGTCCCCGGAGGGAGGGAGAGGAGGAGAGGGACCCCAGCGCGCAGGAAGAAGGTCTTCAAAGCAGCGTGCCCGCCCAGCTGGGGGCGGAAGGATGTGCCGCAGCAGCCGCTATGGTCCCGACAGCTGAGATACAAAGCCCTCGCTGTCGCTGTCGCTGTCAGAACAAAGCTTGCCGCTGCGGTTCCCCCGCCCCCACCGAGAACCCAACCAGAATAGTGCTGGCGGGGCCACAGAGCTCTGTGCTGACGCTGCTAAGGACCAGCCTTCCCAGTGGGTGTTTACGGGGCTCTGGCCCACCAGCCCGCGAGCCCCGGAGCAGCGAGCGGGCGGCAGACAGTGCTGGGCGGTGCTGCCCCCCCGGGGAGCAGGGGGCTCAGCTGCCCGGAGACACAGGTCAGACGGGTTTGCAGTGGGAAGCACCCATCTCGGCTGGACGGGGGTCGCCACCCTGCCTGTGCACACCCAGGGGAGACGGGGTGGGTGGCTTCGGCCTTCCTTTTTGAAATCAGTGTGTTTGTGGCCACACTGGTTAGTGATTCGAGTCAGAAAGTGCGGCCGGCCATGCGGATGGGAGTTAGAAGCTGCCAAGTTTCCCCCTCACTTCGCTCTGCCGGCTTCTGGCCAGATGCAGGCCCTCACAGACGCCCCTGCCCGCCACCATGCGCCCCGCTCCGAGCGAGGGTGTGATTCCCGCCAGGCGAAACCAACAGGCAAAGTCACGGTGGGAGGGGAGGCGTAGGGTGGAGGGTCACGGCAGCGGGTGTGACTCCCACGGGTCAGTGCATCTCCTTGGTCACGAACGCCCCTCGGGGCCAGGGGGTCTCCCCCCCACCCACGCGGGCAGCCCCGAGTGGTGAAGGTGCCGTCTGCCTGCCACGGAGCCCCCCTCGCCAATACGTTAAGTCAAACTAGCTTGTCCACCAAGACCGGTCTTTTTCCGCGCCATGATTTGCAGTAAGGCGAGATCGTTTAAATGCCGGCAGTAGAACCAAAGAGTTTTCCAGTCTTTAACGTGTATCTGTCTTAAAATCTTACCCACCCATCATCCTTCAGAAGCAAAGGGCTTAAACGGGCCCACAGGCAATGCCCCCCGTGCTCCGGGGGCTGCCCAGGCCAGAGCGCCACCCAGAAGGGGGCGGCCAGGCCTCTGGGGCGCGTGTGTGCTGGCTGGCTGGCTCCTCCCTCAGTAAAGTCAGGTTCCCGTGGGCAGCACGGCCGGGGCGCGCTCTGCACCCGTGAGCCCCGTACCTCGAGGGTCTGCGGATTGTTACTGCGTACGGTACTTTAGCTGGGCCGGTTTCTGCTTCCTCCCTGCCAGGTGCAATTAAGAGCAACTATTCTTTGTGCTTAAAATGCTGACACTGCAGTCTTAGTTCTAGTCCTTTGATGTGTAACAGTGGTCGGTCAGCACCAGACTACTAACGATCGATGACCTTCCTTCTTTCATTACCTTATCCCACTCACAGAGCCAAGAACTGATAGGCTTATATAGGCTTGCAGAAGTTTCTACTTTTCTAATTACACACTTCTTGTGTTACAAGGAATTCAGAAAAATCTTCCGGTGAAAGCTTTACAGAATGCAAGAAAAGGCCTTGATTCATATCGCTGAGGTGTTAATTGCAAGATTCGGACCTTTCCTACTCTTATTCAAAAGAGAATGGAATAACTGGAACCGTTTTAGAACACTGGCTATAATCTACCTTTTTAAATGTCTTATAATAGAGAGCAATGCCTATTCATAATCTAAAGGAAATTATTATTTCAATGACTCTTATCATGTAAGACTATGAGAATAAACCTTAGCATGAAGACTTCTAAGTGCTCCAAATTTGAGACTGAGTACAGTCCACCCTCACACACGCGGTGGGGTGGGGGGAGCTCACTTCCCATGCAGTTGAAAATCCGCGGGTAAATTGTAATTTAAGGAATGTTTTGGGGTAATGTCAGTTGGTAACGTGTACACTTCAGATGTGCGACTTTATAATATGACATCTGCATCCTGTATTGAGTACTCACCACCACGTCTAGTCCCCTTCAGCATGAACTTGACCTCCTGGACCTTCCCCACCCTCCCCTCGGCCCCCCTCCCGCTGCTGACCCCCCTTCTGTCAGGACCTGACCCTGTGAGGTGTTCAGCTGTTGCGTGTATGTTCGTTTGTTGCTGCTTGTACACGGACCATGTCCTCTCCACCCGGCCCCCCACTGGAGGACACCCATGTCTCCGCGTCGCGGGTGTGGTGCAGAGAGAGGGCTGCAACGGACACGGGGACACGGGGGTGCCTGCGCCTTCACGGATGATTTGTGGTTCCAGGTTTCCGGGTGGATATCCAGAAGAGGGATTGCTGGGTATACGGTAACTCTATTCTTAATTTTTTCTACTCAACACCAGAAAAACAAGCAATTGGATAAAAATAAAAATGGGCAGAGGACCTGCCTGAATAAGACACTTTTCCAAAGGAGGCTCATATAACTTTTGATTCCCTCAAAACTTAGCTTTGGCTTCCCGGACCCCGCTGTGGACCCCCAAGTCTGCAGACGCTCGGTCCCGCGTGCACAGGAGCTGTACGTCAAGGCATGCAGTAGCCCCCCCCCCCCCCACCTCCGCGGGCTCCCAAGGGTGGGCCCAAAACAGGACGGGCACTTACTGAGAAAACCCCAAATATACGTAGTTCACGCACGTACTGGACAAGGGTCGACTGTGATTATATTCCCCGTTCTCTCCCCCTGCCCACCTCCCGGCCCCAAGAGGGACATCTGACAATCTCTCCATGGTTTCTGCCCAGCGAACCCGGGAACAGGCCGAGAAAGGGAACAGAATGGTGAGGAGCAGGCCGCCCAGAGGCAAACAGAAGTGGGCGGAGTCAGCGCTGCCCCCCCCCCCCCCCAGAGAAGGCGGCCCTGGGGGGTCGGAGGGTCTGCGGCTCTGAGCTGCTCTGAGAGACCGAGTCAGCCCCACCCTGCAGGGCCCCGAGGGAGCAGCTGTGGGTGCCACTGGGGAGCGCAGGACGTGTTGCTGGAGTTCTGAGGGTGTCCTCTCACCTTTCACCTTTCACCTTACGTACACTCGCTACGTAGCCCTTCGGTACAACTTGGCTGGGTGGGAAATAAAGACCTGAACGTTTACTTTGGAGGGGTGGGGTCTGCTTCCAATAAAGCCACCTCGATGACTCACGTGCGCCAGCCAGGAGGGAGAGCAGGCCCGGGGCCACCCCGGGGCTCCTCCCCGGTTCACCGGCGCTGAAGTCGTGACAGGACTGGTAATCAGGGCCGTTCCAGGAGGGAACTTAAAAGGAAGGAATCAAGCTGGAAATTCTGTATTTATAAACAAACGTTCCAGTGTTGCTCAACAAAGGGAAAACGCTCGCGTAGCTGGACTGCATTTTTTTGATGCGCTCTTTGTTCAGAAAGGAAAGTCAGCGAGAACAGTTCGGAGCCCGGACTTGGAAACAGCCCCCCGAGGATGTCTGGGAACTGGTCTGGCAGGAAGACCGTGTTCGGTTCTAGATACAGATGTCAGAAGAGACGCCAATGTTTACTCACCTCAGATGCTGGCAAACAGACATGCCAAGCCAAAAAAGAAAAAATGCATACACATATCTGGGTGTGCCTGAAAAGTAAGACCAGGATGATTCCTTAGGAAAAAGATGCAAATCCTAGTATAATCCTTTTATCGTTCATTTGAACAAAATATGGTACTTTCTTAATTTGCTTAATCTTGCTTATCAAGCAACGGGATCTTGATTAAGTCAGGCTGTTTGTTGCGAACTCCCACTGAGCTCTGCTCCTCTTATTTCTCTGTCACCACATTTCCAAGTGACATCTTGGGTTCAATTTAATGCAACGATGTATCCAGTGCGGACAGCCACGGGCAGGGCGGGCCTCTCTCCGGGGCCTCCCAGGGGGCTGACCCCATTCCCTTGGTTTCCAGGCACCAGCAAGGTGAACCTCGTGAGGATCCCGTCGGCGGCCTCCAGCCCGCGGGACACGGCGCTGGCCGCTGTCATCTGCAGTGCCCTGGCCACCGTCCTGCTGGCCCTGCTCATCCTCTGTACCATCTACTGCAAGAGGCAGCTGATGGAGAAGAAACCCAGCTGTAAGTCCGGGGCCGGGCTCCTTCCGCTTCTCAGCGCTGGGGACACGCGTCTGTCCTCGCGGGCCCCTGCGGGCTAGAGGGACGGAGGGCCCCTGACGACCGCTCACGCAGGCCCTGGTCCCAGAGGAGCCCCGAGGGAGCAGACTGATTGGCGGGTGGCACTGATGCTTTATAAGGACGTGGAACAGGCAGGGATGTCCCCGGGGCCACAGGCAAAAAAATAAAAATCCTTCCAAGTCCTGGCGACATAAGTCCTCCCCGTTTTGATTTTTTCTTGACAAATTACACCCTGTTTGTGCCTCCATCTGAGGAGGAGTGTTTTCAGGTGTGACCACAGCCGTCGTCTTCTTCAACAACGCAAATGCCGGGGTCGCGCTGGGCCCGGGCGGCGCTGGGAGGGGAGTCCTGCCGGAGGGGCCTGTCCTCACTGACGGGACTGTCCCCTCCTTCAGGGTCCCTGAGAGCTCAGGATGCTCAGTACAGCGGCTCCGAGCTGTCCTGCTTCGACCGGCCTCAGCTGCACAAGTCCGCTCCCCGAGCCCGCTGCCAGTGCCACCGGGACTTGGGCCCGGCCTGCGGTAAGTCCCTGGGCCGGAGGGAGGGGGGGTCGCGGAGGCGAGACCTGCCCCTGCCTGTCCCGCAGCCGGGCGGCTGCCCGCTTGGTTTCCGCTCAACTAACGCACCGCTCGCCACACAGTTATCGTTCGCACATCTCGCTACATAGTTACCGTTCTCCACCACACTCGAAGGTGTGGCGTGCGGCACGTCTCTTAAATACGAAAAAGAAAACAGTCTCCTTGTTTAAAAAAATCCTAGAAGTTTGCAGCAACGTTTTCAGCGGGTTTGCCCTTGTTGTTTTTGAGTCGGATGAGTCCGAACGTGAGCAAGCTTGTGCCCAGGACGAGTGTGCACCCCTCCCGCCCGGCGGGGTCACGCCAAAGGCCCAGGGAGCCACGCTGCTGCCGCCACGGGGCTTCTCGGGGCAGAGGGGGGCGGCGTCCCGCACACCGGCACCGCCTGCTGGACCGCGGACGGACACGGGCGTTCAGGGCAGTGCTGCAGGGGGAGCTGGTTTCTGACACGGGAAGCGTGGGCGAGGGCCATGCCGACTTCCCTCGGCACTTACATGCATGAACTCGAGGTCGCACCCGCACTCGCCCCGCTCCTATCCCAACCGCACGGCCCGTCTCCCCACAAAGCCAGACTCGAGGGGGCCAGCCCCGGCCGCACCCCTCTGCCTCGAGGCCCAGTGGTCCCAGTGCCCCTGGAGCAACACGAACAGCACCCTGAGGTCCCTCCTTCTCTCCGTGAGGCGTGTCCCAACGAGACGGACGTATCCCCTTGGCACTGTCCAATCTTTCAAGAGATTACAGGAGTTGGGTTTTTCCACCTAATATTTGACATGTGAAACGAGGAGGTTTCAACAGAATGTTTTTCTGCTGGCCACGACTGTCTTCCACTGCAGGAGTAGGTCTGAGAGTGACATGTGAGGCCTCTGTGCTGCGTGGGGTCCCCTTTCGCCTGTGCCCATGCCCACACAGACCCCGAGACGGCCGCCCGCCCCACGCCCCACACCCACGCCCAGGCACTGCCTCCTCGACACAAGGCAGACACTGGACGGTGACGTTGGCGTAGACTCGGGTGGCGGAGGACCATTTCTTGAGAGATGAGCTCCAATTTTAAATGTGATAAAAGAGAGCTCTGGCAGACTCTGCCTCACCCAGACTTGTGTCTGGAGAGAAAGTCAGCTGCACCGGCCGCCTGGCCTCCTGTCCCCGTGACGGACCAGAACAGAACAGTATGCTCCTCCGCCCCACGCTGCCGCTGGGCGCGGGGAGGTTTCCTCGCAAACCGCCTCCTCCCGAATGCGGCTCCCTCCCTTCCTCCTGCTTTTAGCTTTCCGTTTGGACACACGTTAAGACTCACAAAGATGTTGGAAGACTAGGACAAAGAACTTCCACATACGCTGTACTCAGACTCCCCAAGTATTAGCGTTTATCTCATTCGATATTTATCATTTCTATGTCTAAGTATGGTAGCTGTGTGTGTATACATATATGTAAAATACATGCTTTGTAATATTCTGTATATGTACAGACACACTGTGTGTGTCTGTACATAAACATATATATACTTTTTTTTCACTTGCCATTTAAAAATTGTTTGTAGATACCCTGCCCCTTCACCCCTTAATACTTTGGTGTTTATCTCCTAAGAAGAAGAAGAACATCCTCTTACATAACAGCAGGATTGTTAAATCAAGAAATTAACATTATGTCTACTGCTATTATGTAATCTACAGCAGACAATGAGATTTTAAAATTATCTCAATAATGTCCTCTGTAGCAACAGAAATCCCAGATAACACTGTTGTATTTAGTTCTCTTCCCTCCACTCTCATTTAATCTGGAACAGTTCTTTCATCTCCCTTGGTGTTTTATGACACTAACGTTTTTGACGAGCACAGGCCGGTGATTTCGTAGAGTGACCCCCGTCTGGGTTTTCTGACCTTCGGCGATGAGCAGACTCAGAAACACCCACGAGGCGCTGGTCAGGCGACCTCGAGCCGCTTTGTTAGGGTGGCACCTGCACCCCTTCTCTGCTGCATAACTACTGTTCTTCCCTCTGCAATGCGTAGTCACCCCTCGTGGGGGATCCCCTGAGATCGTGTGAACACCCACCTCCTCCAGGCCTCTGCTCGCGAGTCCCGCGTTCTCCGGCGAGTCTCCCCCGGGTCAGTCCTTGCTGCGGCGGTTGACACCGGCAGGTTTCCTAGTTCCGTCATTCTTTCTGCGTTTCTTTAGTTGGCTTCCTACGGTCAGGAGGAACTTGCCCTTCTTCCGCGTGTAAGTGTTTATTTACTCACTTGGATGAGTGTGGACGCCTGGGCCCCGCCCCCCGGGCTACGTAGGGTCACGTGCTCTCACCCTGCATTTCAGCGCTCAGATTGTCCCGGGCCTGGCCGGTGCCAGGCCGGCGAGGCGGGCTCGCCAACGCATTCCGCTGTTCTTTCGGCGCCTTCCCCCCTCTCGGTATGTAAAGCAGTTCCAGGCCACCTCGTACTTTCCGGCTGAGCCCCAGCACCAGCCGTGTCTATAGGGAATGGCGGCGCCTTTTGCTTTTAAGTAGCTTGGAGAAATGCCCTAGTGGGCGCGACCCGCGTCACGGAGCACAGTGGCGGAGAGCCCGGGCCGGCCCCCGCGGCCGCAGCGGCAGACAGCTCGGGAAGGCGAGGCCTGCCGTGCCAGGGACTCGGTGCCCGTGAGCGGGGTGCCCATCCTGCTGACACCGATGTGCAGCTGCATCTCAGCACGCGACACGCGTTTGTCATGTTGGTACTCTCCTGTTTATGAGAGGGAATCCTCGCCTTAAGTTTGCATACACAGACATATGAACATGTCAACGTGTAATTACTTCAGGTCTTTTTCTCTGTGTGTGTGTGTCTTTGTGTTTAGCTGTATGCTTCAGTGCGTTTATGGTTTTACTACATAGAATTATATGTTTACGTGTATGTATAGAGGGACGTCTAATAAGCCATTCGCCCAATACTGACAGTGTTTATTTCTGGTTTACAGGGCTGGGGAAGATTTATTTTTACACTTATCTAACCTCTTCATTTCTAAATCTTTTCCTCAATAAGTTTAAGTGCACAGTCCAGTGGACTAAGCTCGTTCACACTGTGCGACTGTCCCCACCAGCCGTCTCCGGAGCTTGTCCCTCCTCCCAACCAGAAACCTGCGCCCCCCGCCCCTCCCCCAGCCCCTGGCAGCCGCCACTCTGCCTGCTGTCTCTATGAACTTGAAGTTGACCACTCCAGGTTCATCACGGGTGGTTCACCATTCCTTTAAAGATACAACAGAGAACAAAGTGCAGCCTCGTATCCCCCTCCCCCGCAAAGTCACCCAGAGGGGACTAGGGACACGCTCGGGCGCGAGGCTGCGCTGGCGTGGGAGAGGGCAGCCCCAGAAAGAGCGCCGGCCTCACGCCTCTGCTGCTCCCCCAGGGCCCGTCCGCCTGGTGCCGTCCCTGTGCTGCGAGGACACCTGCAGCCTCGACCCGGCGGCGCTCGGGGGCAGGGCGCACTCCAAGGCCGGCGCTCTTCAGGAGAGGTAACTGGGCACCTCGGCAGCGACCTCATGTGCTAATCCCTCGTGCGGGCAGGCGCAGGTCTCGTTTACCAGCTTCCGAGCAAACGCTGGAAAATGGCTCACGGGGGGCCTCCCTTTTTAATGTCGGGAAGGGTTTCTGGTCGTTGGAGGGCCCGCGTGTTTGGCAGGAATTAGGTAAGTCCCTCAGGGTTGCTAATACCCAGTGCAACACTTTTTGTCACACTCAGTTTATTTCTGCCTTCTAGTCATGACTCGTGACACTTCTGTCATCTGCAAGTAATTTTTAACATGTCCTGTGCCCATGGAATTTTAGAACAGCCTTGAAATTCAGTTAAAACCCAAGAAACCACGTTTCAGACACTGTACGAAGTGTAACTACACTGATTACAAGGACGTGTATTAATTCAGTTTTAAAGTCAATGGAGGACTTATTTACACCGAAGCTGGTTTGTAACAACTAGAATCGTGACTTAGTAAAAGGCTAATTTCCCCTAGAAAACGTGAACGCAGGGCTCATGCTGCTCCGTGGCGGGGCTTCTGGCCCCCACGGACCACGCTAAGGTCTCTTGCGCGCGTGCTCAGGAACGCAGGTCCGCGGGGGGAGCCCACGCCGGCGCTCTTCGGGTCCCTGTCCGTCTCCGGCGAGTTCTCGGACGCCTGGCCCCTGATGCGGAGCCCCGTGCCCGACGACGACGACGACGACGACGACGACGTCTCCTTGCCGGACTCTTGCACGGAGCTCACCGGAGAGGACGTCCCCTCTCTCAGCCTGGGGGACGGAGCCTCGTCCCCGCACAGTAGCCCGGGCCTGGGCGGCGGCGCTGCCGCTGCCGCTGCGGTCCGGGCTCCCTCCGAAAACCGCGCGGGAACCCCGGACTTCCTCGGATCCCACTCCCCGGCAGAGCCGGCGCCGCCCGCCCAGGAGCTGCCGCCGGCCCGCAGGATCCGGCCAGACCCCGCCGCTCAGACGCCTCTGCAGGTGAGCCCGGGCCCCTTCCGCGCGGAGGACACGGGGGGAGGGGGACACGGAATTCCTTTCCAGCCGCGTGACCTGGGGGGGGGCGGCGGGGGGTCCTGACGGGGAGGTTGCCGTCTGCCCTAAAGTCGTGTGTGTTACAGGAGGGGATCTTTTAAATTCAATTTCAAGATTTTAAAAAACTAATAGGTAATATATAAGACTACAAAGGGAAGCTATATTTAATTTTTTTTAGCTTATTACTATTTAGAGAAAGAGAGGAAGGGAGAGAGAGAGAGAAACATCGACTTACGGTTCCCCTTATCCACGCACTCACGGTTGATTCTCATATGTGCCCTGACCGGGGAATGAGCTCACAGTCTTGCTGCATTTTTTTAAAAATTCTTCTCTGTAAATCTAACTGCAGTTGACCTTGAACAACGTGGGAGTTATGGGCGCCACCCCCCCCCCAATGCAGTAGGGTCAGAAATTCCCAGTAGAACTTCTGACCCTCCAAAATCTTAACAACTAACACAGCCTGCCCCGGGGGTGGGCAGCAGCAGGGCTACAGCCGTCCGTGTGGGAAATAAACGTGAATAATGACACAGGAATAAACTTCGCTCCCGTGCTCACAACTGCAAAACTCCGTTCTCCCGCCCCCCCCCCCCGCGGCCAGAGAAGCCTGAGCGATAACGTAAACGTCGGTCAACCCGTATTTTGTGTTTCATGGATTCTATGGTGTATTCTTACGGTAAAGCAAGCTGGAGAAAATGTCATGAAGAAAATCGTAAAAGAAAATATACTCGCAGTGCCGTATGCAGGTCCGAGAAAAAAGACCCACCTGGCCGTGAGCCCGCGGTTCCCAGGGCCGGCGCGACTGGGCCCGCGCCCCGCCCCACTGCAGGCCTCGCGGAGAGGGGGCCGCCGGGGTCCGCACGCGGCTCCTCCCTTCGCCTTCGTTTCCCCTGCGCTGGGCTTTCGTCCAACTCGTGCAGGCACTGCATTCGAACTCAGGTTCCCGAGAGCGCCCCCCGACTCTCCTCTCCTGGTGTTTCTGGGTCTGCTCTGACCGCCCGGATCAGTTCGGGTGGGAACTGATCGTCGTTTGCGATCTGGGACTTACCGCAGCATCAGAACCTTCTAGATCAGAGGGTTTACCCTAAGGCTGGGGGGAGGCGAGGGGCTGCAGGCAGAGAGGTCCTCTGGGCCTGCCGCCGGCCTGGAGGCAGCGCGGCACGGTGGGGGGGAGGGGACACCTGGGCCCCGAGCCTGCTTTGTCCTCCAGGCCACGAGGTGGCCCTGGCTGGGTCCGACTCGGCCTTTCCAAGGGTTCGCTCCCCGTGAGCGCACGCGTGGTCGGCGCTCGCAGCGTCTGCGCACGCCCTTCTGCAAGGAGGCCGGGCTCCAGGACGGGCACGGGCAGCGCCCCCGCGCGGAGGGGTCCCCGCCAGTGCCAGGGCAGCCCCAGCCGGGTCCTGGGGGCGGACACAGCGCCCCCGCGTGCACCCTCGCTGCTTCCGTCAGAAACACGCCGACGTCAGCACCTGGCCTATGTCAGAAGCACGTGACGTCAGCACCAGGCCGACGCCAGAACCACGTGACGTCAGAACCAGGCCTACGCCAGAACCATGTGACGTCAGATCCATGTGATGTCAGAACCAGGCCTACGTCAGAACCACGTGACGTAAGCACCAGGCCTACATCACAACCGCGTGACATCAGAACCACGTGACGTCAGAACCAGGCTGACGTCAGAACTTCCCGTCCTTTTTGTAAACTACATTTCCGCAGAGAATTTATAGGGAATTGTATTAAAAACTGGACTGACTCTGGAGAAGAAAGCATTGGCGTTCTCAAGAAGAAGGGAGTGAGGGAGAGAGACGTAAAGGGAGGACAGGCCAGCACAGCGGCGGGTTGAGAGACGGAACAGGCGCCCCGCTGCGGCCGGGAGCTGCTCGCCGCCCCACGGTTTTCACGACTTGCACGGTAATCACGGAAGATGCAGCGGTGGCCCGGCGCGGGCCTCGGCGCGGCCGGATGGGAGGACCCCGCCGCCCCCACCGCCAGCCGGGCAGCCCCGCCAGGAGCCTGCCGGGCGCCCCAAACGCGTCTTAGGGCTCCCCCCATGTAGCCTGAGCTCCGCTCTCATTTCAGGAGGCTGAAGTTCCTTTTCATCAAGGCAGTTGGCACTGACGGCAAACTCGTTTGCGCGACCTTCGCAGACGCGTTACCTCCCCGCACACGTCCCTGCGGGGTGGCGGGGGGGGGGACGGCCCGAGCAACTGGAACGACTGCACCTCCTGCGGACTCCAGGTTTTCCGAGTGTGGTCCCTGCACAGACCTACCGCTCGCCTTAACGCGGTAGCTTGTGTCCCGTTTTGTGATGCGGAGAACGGAACGTCTTGATACCAGTCATGGAAGAACCAACGCATTCTCCCCTTTTCTGTTTACCTTGTTGGCCAGGTGCACAATGCGTTGATAAGCAGTGTCATCACAGTTACGTGAGTTTGAAAGTTTAGGAACGTAGTTTAGTATACATAAGGGGTGTCTAACGATGCGAATTCGTTTCCCAAGAGCATTCTCTAGGTGATTGTAAAGGTATTTTCAACACAAATTATCAAGGAAAGAAAGTTGTAATTACACATAAATGACAAAGTGTTACATTCCAGTCGCACAGTGCAATTTATTAATGAAACGTTATCAGTTTTCCAAGACGTGTCACCTAATGGTTAGTACATAATTTCCGTAAATCTAAATAGGACATTTGGAATTCAGCAAAGAGATCGTTAAAATGTAAATCATTTCCGTGTTTGCCCTAAAATTGAAAACAGCAAATGATATTTTGGGCCCGTTCTAAGAGATAATCTTTTGCAGACCCTGAAGGGCATTTTCTCTCCGGCTGCCTTTTCCGAGTGTGGGAAACGTGCTGGCTGGAGCCGGATCTCCGAAAGGACGGCGGGGAGGCGGCAGCTGCCCGCCGTTGGGACCTGGCCTCATTAGAACTCCCAACGACGCGCACGTCACGTGTGACCCCCAGAACTCTGTTGCTGCGCAGCAGCTCTCCTGAGGGTGGGTGGGGACTCCCCAGCGTCCGGTGAGGACGGCCAGGGCTCAGGGCAGAGCGGGCGGGTGCCGGAGCCTCCGTGGGCCTGGACGAGTGCATCATCACTCTCCCCGGGAGGGAACGGACCTCAGGTATCTGGGGCGGCGATTTCTAACACGTTCGGGAGAACCAAGCCAGCCTCTGTACTTACAGAGAAAGTTCATTTTGGTGTTTTGTTTTTTTCAACCAACATTTTCACTGTCCATGTAAATCCAGGGAAGGGACGGTAGGAAAGGCATGAAGCGACCCGGCTTCTAGTGTTTTAATCTATTAAAATCTGTACTTCCTTACTGGCAAAATGAGTGCAGTCTGCCTCCCACGGTAGTGTGAGGGTGGTTGTCGCTGTTCCTGTCGATGGCCGTAGGTGACTCAGCCCCCTCTGGTTATCCGGGCGCTCCAGAAGTTTCTGTTTCCACATCATCTCCTTGGACCCAGAGGAAAACTTTCTTCATAAACTCGCCGGACGCGTCACCAACACCACGTCAGTGGGACGCAGGCTCAGGAAGAGTGGGTGCTGCAAGGGACGGTTTTGCGTACTCAGCGGCGGCCACGTGCACTTGGCCGGCCCCTGGCCCGCCCCTCCTGCAGTGAGGTCTCTGCCCCTCTGTGGTGAGGGCAGACGGAAGGGCTCCGCTGTGCAGAGGATGCTGGCCCGTGAGGAGTGTCCGGCACCCTGCAGGCCCTACGGGAACCCTCTCCAGCAGTCCCACGCACGCTGTGAAGTCAGAGACGGAGGTGGCTCTGTTCATCAGTCGTCTTCTTTCCTTCAGACGGGGGCCAAAGGCTCCTAACAGCTTCACCTACACAGGAGCGCAACGCAGAAACGAGCTTTTGGTGTTGAAACGAGGTTGGGAATCTGCAGAATTGTTTGCAGACGCATTTTGTTCGCTGCGGGTCACACCGTCGTCTTCCAGGAGCTACTGGTGAATCTCGAGTGGCTCTGGGTTGTCAGGGAATCTTTCTTCATTTCAGTCTGGGCGCACACAGGCGCCTGGGCGCTCGAATCCCTTCGCGTGCACGAGCTTCCTGTCTTGTACGCGATCAGACTCCTGTGCGTCACTAGTAAAAGTTACGTATGTTAATTTTGACAGTTCTGGTTTCGTGGCTTTAATTTGTGACGCATGATTTTTAAATCTGCCCTCCTGTCGCTCTTTCAGGACCAGGAGTGCCTGTGAGGAGCCCGAGGGCACGCACGCCCCCAGCATGAGGACCTTTCGAGGACCGCGCTGTCTGGACCGTGCGTGGCTTCTGCGGAGAGAAGCCGACCCGAACCGAACTGATGGGTTTGAGCCTTTCAGCCCGTTGCTTCTGAGCCAGACCCGCTGTGAGCTGGGGCCTCAAGGAAGACGGGGCCGTGGGCGTTCAAGGCGCTTGGCGTCTTCCGTCCGCCAGAGGCTTCCACGCTGCGGGTGGGACTGCAGAGGCTGCTGCTGCGTCCAGTCGGCAGCCCTGGAGATGCCGGCCGACGCCACGAACCCAAGTGGCAGTCACCTGTGCCTGTTGTGACTGTGGCTTTACCAGACCAAGGACCCGGAGTCCACAGTTTCACCTGCATTTTCTGCCAAAAATGACTTTGCATCGTAGCGGGTTATCCTGGTCAAGGTTGGTGTTAGATTAGGTGCCTTGGTTTTCGTGTACAAAGGGTTCCACAGTCTGTTTCTCTTTGAGGAAGGTCACGTTTCTGTCACCTACACGAATGGGCGGAGGAGGCCGGAATTGACTTCACACTGCCTGCCTGCCCCTTGGGTTTACTGGGTGAAGTCCAGGGGCCTCCCCAGAAATTAGGGGACGACGGGACTCTCAGAGAATCCACGCTCTAACTCAGCCGCCACTTGCTTCACAGGCACCTGGCAATGGGGGGACTGAGTCAGGGCCGGGGCGGGGAAGGGCCCCCACCCGGCACCGGGTTCTGAGACCGCTGCCCGGGCGTACTCTTGGGGCGTGCGCACTCTCGGTGCTGCGTACAAAGCGGGGCGCCTTTCTGTGAAAATCCGTTCAGGCAGAAGCATCTGTTACTCTCTCCCTGTGACTGAGCTTAGAAGGGGCAGAGCTTCTCTTTTACAGAAAAGTGGTATTTATACAGATAATGACTTTTTTCCTTTCCCTTACCCCCCACCCCTTCCTCTGGCAACCGCCCACCTGCTCTCTGTGTCCGCGAGCTCAGCTGGGGGTTTAGTGTTTAGTCTGCGGGGCCGACTAGGGCTTCTAGGAACGACGACACAGCAGGTCCCCTGCTGCCGCTGGGACGGGCCACCACCGAGCGAGGGGTCCTGGGAGACCACACCTCGTGCTAGAACCAGGAGAAGGAGCCGTCCGTCAGCGTCTTCTAGGTGACCAGCCTGCCACTGCTGCACGCAGCCGGACCAGGGTGTGCCAGTGCGCCCGCTCGTCCTGTGGGCTGAGTGCGGACGGGAGGGACCCATCTCAGCGGACGAGCGTCTCTCCGGGCGCTCGCCCCGCCCACCACCCCGGGTGGCCCCGCCCCCTGCCCCTTGGACGCGTGGCTACAGCAATGACAGACGCCAGCCCAGTGCAGTCTTGACCCGGGACGGCTCCTTTCTCTTCGCCTCCGCGGCCCGGAGCAGGGGTTACTTAAGCAGGAGTCGGCTTCTGCCTACCTGAGCCGACACGCTCAGGTCTGCACCCCGCCCCCCACCACCACCGCCTTTGCACGAACTGTGTGAGCTCGGCTCCGTCTGCAGGTAAAAAAGAAAGAGGCCTTCGCACATCAGAGCGCACTGAGAGATTCCGGCTCCGAACGACCCCAACCGAATCCGTGCCTTTTATCCGAACTGAACACCTGAGGTCTGGCTTTCCTTCGACATTTTTACCTTCTAACTTAGGGCCCCATGCTTTTCTCTCTCTGCAAGACATCAGCAAACCCTCAGGGGCCCTCGGCCCATGGCTGGGACAGGTGTGCACCAGCCTGCCTGCTCTGGGCCCCCGCACGACCTCCGCGCCTTCCCCTGAGACAGGAGACACAGCGGAGTGTCTCCTGGTGACTCCCGATCTCCGTCTGTCGAGGGCCCAGTCATCAGTGACTGATCTCCACTCTCTCCTTGTCCTTTCTCAAAGCATTAGGCGACAGGTCTTGAACTTGGGTGCTCGTCAGCTCCTGGAGAAGTGCCTTTGGGAAACTCAGGTGAAACACTTCGGACTTGACCATGGGATGTTTGTGAATGTGCCCACCGCGTGGCTCCGCCGTCGTCCACGAGCGTGCGCCTCGCCTGCGATCGGGTCGTTTTCCTTCCGGCGGAGGGAGGATCAGAGGCCGCCGGGCCGCGCTCTGCCTGGGACCCGACTGGAGGTCCCGCAGGCGGGGCCGTCGCGCCCTGGAGAGAGGCGCACTGGCTGGGGAAAGCCGGATTCGTGAGAGCGAGACGTCGGCCTAAAGTCCTGAAACGTCACCTCTGACCAGCACAGAAAAATACTTAGGGGTCGGAAGTCGGTTTGATCTGATACTGCATCTGAAAAAATTCTGTTGTTGTTTTTTAAATCAAGGTGAAGACCTTTTACCCCCACCGACCATAGGAACACACAGTGTTATATCCTGCACTCTCTGTACACACTCCACAAAAATCCCGTTCTGCATTTTACATCGTTGGGACCCCTCCCTCCGGCACACGGACGCACTCAGCTGCGAGGGTGCCGGTGCCGGGGGTCTCGGGGCAGCGGCGGGGGACGCGTGCGGGCTGCTGACGGCCCACGCAGCAGGAACTCCTGGTCAACGAGAGTGCGGCGAGGGTTTAAGAAGCAACCACGCCGAGGCATGGGTTTTCTGATTTTGTGAATATGGGATATATTTTTCAGATATAAATGTTTCTATGTTCAAGTGTTAATGTCGCTGTTACCTAGGTTAAGCTGGTAAAAAAAAAACAGAAAAAAGGTTAAAAAACTGTTACTGCTTTAAGGTGGTCAGCTCGACTCCGTTTAGATTTCATCATTATTGCTTCGCGTACTGGAATTTTCTTATATGAATAGTTTTGTAATGCCTTTTTTAAACATTTGTCAATAAAATCGTTACCTGGAACTCCTGTGTGCACGCCCAGGGAGAAAGTGACACACGATGGGAACGCACGCGCACGCGCTGTCACGGGAGGGCCTCGCTCCGTGCTGATCCTTCCAGCAAAACCCTGTTGGGCCCCACGCACTTCACGGGGCGGGGGTTGAAATCCCTGCGACGACCAGTGACCTGGTGACATTTCTCAGACGTGCGGCGCTACTGACAATGCTTCCAGTCATTTGAGAAGCTTTGGTATCGAGATTTTATCATCTCTTTTCTCCCCTTTCGTCTTAAGACACAAAGAGGGAAGGAACTGAAGAAGCTTTAGAGTCCTTCTTTGTGGGGGGCTGTAGGGTGTGCTCCTGCAGAGAGTGGGGGGGGGAAGAAGGAAGGGACTCCCACAGAGCAGCACTGGCCACTGTGAAAGTTTCCTTTTTCCTCCTGAGCTGCTCGCCCTCCTTCTTTCTCAAGCCCTTGATTCCGCCTTCCATTCCTTCCCCTGGGGACCCTAACACGAGCTATTATTGGATTTTGAGAGGGGAGTTTAAGCTTCTTGGGGAAAAAATGGGTTGTTGGAAGGTGACACCGTATTCTCCCCACTGGGGAGCCCGTGTGGCACTGCAGGACACTGGTGTCTGCGGGGAGGGACGGTGGCTTCTTCCCCCTTCCACACCCTCCCCCCGCCCCCGCCACAGACACAGCAGCCCGCGCAGACGCACAGGCCGGGCTCCTGGAGGCCGGCAGCTCCGAGGAAAGTGAACCCCAGGTTTGCGAGTTCTTGCCGGCGGTCGGAAGTGCTCTGTAACGGCCACACAAATGGCCTATTTTCGTTATTGCCGCTGTTTTTGAGATCTCTTTGCTGTTGGCGACTCACCGTCCTGAATCTGTCCATTTGTCCCGTTTCAACTCGAGAAGGTATAGAAGGTATAGAAATACAAGCTTACATCGATCGTTGGGTCGTCTGCGACATGTAGTAAGAAGTTTCCGTGAGACCCGGTGTGTGGTTCTGAGATACAGTCGCACCGGGTCGAGCCAACAGTTCGCGGTGACGCTGCCGACGTCGGGGCGCAGCCCCCGAAGGCCCCTGGGTTTCTGCCGCGGAGACCGGGCCAGCCGCGGCCTCGGAATTAGCGGGCCTTACGGCTGCCCTCACTCAGCCCCCGCACAGGACCCGGATTTCCAGTTAGCCGGCAGAAAGCTCCTTTCTCCGGCCCCGCGGGTGGCCGGCGGAAGCAGGTTTCAATGAGCGTGTTGTGCAGAGACAGAGCCTCCCTTCTCTTTGTCTCCACTGCTGATGGAATTAAGGGCCCCCGTTGAAGACAGAGAGAGCTGCGCCCCATCTGTGCTGCGGGGGGTTGGAGCGGGCCCTCGGGCCGCCGCGAGGGGGTTTTCTCGCCTCACCTGACTGTTTACAGTAAACGGGGGGGGATCCACCCACAGGACGCAGCTGGCGGCGCCTTGGGAACCCCCTCGGGGGGCACTGCCGTGGCGAGGTGCACGCCGTACCGCTCGTGCCTCAGGTGGGAATGGTCTCCCGTGACGCTCCCAATGCAAGTGGGAGTCCCCGCAGGAGACGCATAAGAGGCCGGCCTTCCCTGTCCACGGGTGACCCTCTGTGTGTGGGGTCGGGCGGGGCGTGCCCTCAGCGGCGAAAGCAAGGCCCGCGGGAGGCCGACCGGCCCAGGGAGGGCCCAAACACGCCTGTACAGGTGTTTTTACAACAGGTCTCGACTGCGAGGACACATGCCAAGGTCTCCCTGGACCCAGGGCCCAGGACTGTCCTGGGGGAGGTCAGGAAGGACAGCTCCGGGTGCCGACGCCCAGGCGGGCCCTGAGGGTGGCGCTGGCCACCCCCCCCCACTGTGGGGGCGGGGAAAGCCCGCACAGCACTGGGAAGGCCGGGCTCGTTCCGAGAGCCCTGAGGACAGGGGGCGGCTGCAGCTCAGGGGGCGGCCGAGTTCCAATTGACGAGAGTCTAGTGGGCTCTGCCCCGGGCTTTGAACTGGCCCCGGAGGGAATGTGCGCACCTTTACACTGATGGCTGACACAGTGTGAACCTCTCACGCCTCTAGTCCTTCCGAGCGGAGTCAGCCCAGAAATGGAGAGGACACGGCCACCTGGCCTGGGGGACAGGCGGCCCCTCGGTCCCGGCTGGAAAACGGGGAGCCTGAGATTGTTCTCCGCCACTGGGGCCCCTGGGGCCCCGTCCTGACCTCAAGGCGGGGCGAGGACCGGGCTGGACCCGAGGGCTGAGATACATCGTGTCCAGGACTCGGCTGTACCACCTGCTCACGTCGAATCAACGGATGAGGCTCCGCCCGCCTTTGCAGGGCCTCTGGCACAATCATGGCTCAGGCCGAGGGTCCCAAGAGGAAGAGGACATTCAGAGACCGGTGACCGTGTTCCGAGACCCAGTGCTGCCTGTAATGCCACCTTCAGACCTGGGAGAGCCGGCGCCCGGCCCCGGCCCTGTGCCTCAGGGGGCCCCGGTGCTTTGGAGAATCTCTCTCCAAATGCCCTACCCCCCACTTCCAGGCGAGGACCGGGCAGAGCAGCCCACGCTCAGGCGGGTGCCTGGTGCCCGAGACAAGGCCGGCACGGCCCAGAGTCCCGTTCCTCTCCTTCAAGGCGCCCCCTCACTCCTGCCCTGGCTCTCGGGGACAGACGCTCCAAAGACCTCCAAGTCTTGCCCCTTGGGTTTTCCTGGGGCCCCGGGGCTGGGACTTGGCCCCGGGAAGTGGCCTGCCGAGTGGGTCCTCCGGAGATGAAGAGCAAAGCCCTGCGGTCTGAGGTCCGGGTTAGCCTGAGAAAGCCTCGTTGGCAAGGCCGCCCTCTCCGACGGCGGGCGTCCAATAACCTCAGTTCTGAGAGGAGCCTGGGCTCACTCTCTGCCCCCTGTGCTTTGGGACCACAGGGGCCTGACGACCAGCGCGGGGGTGGGGGGCAGCCGTGGTGGAAGGAAGGTGTGGGAGCTGGGGGAGCCTCCAAAGACCAGGGGGGTTCAGGGGTACGCCCAGAACCTCGCTGCTCCCCCGGACCTTTCTGTGCCCCAGGGTTACCCCAGTTTGCCTCTTTCTCGAACATAAAAAGGCTGAAAAAGTAGCCCATGAGGGATAGTACGGGATTTTGAGCGCTCCACCTCATCCCGAGAAAACTCACCCAATTCTGTGAGCCTCGGCCTGGGCGGGGGTGGGGTGCGGGGAGGCCTACTTGGGTCTGTGGGGCAAGCCCGAGGGCCGGAAGGAGCTCGTGTACGACGCCCGGAACGGAAGCAGACCAGCAGGGAAAGTGAGGCCCGGGAGGAAAGCACTGGCACACGATCGTTTCGGTCATCACGTCGTCACCCCCATAAACCACCGACACAGTCACCGCCCGCTTGATCTGTGTGCAACGCCCGTCTGCCGCTGCCCACCGCGGGGAGCGGGCAGCTTCGGGCCGTGAGGACAGTCAGCAGGGACGGGACTCCGGTCAGAGGCGTCCCACAGCGGAGACGGCCCCCAGGGCGGCCGACTCCCAAGGCGCTGGTCTCTGCCGCTGTCCGTCGCGGGCGGGAGCTGAGCGTCCGTGCCAGGGGCACGTGTAAACCTCTCTCAAAGTCTGAGGTCCGGCGTGTGGAGATCAGGTAAGTTCCAGGATCAGGAACGTCTGTGGGGCCCTGGCCCAGTGGCTCAGTAGGTTGGAGCGTCGTCCCGGTGAGCCAGGGCCGTGGGTTCGATCCCCAGCCGGGGCACAGACGAGAAAGAAGCAGGCAGGGGGTGCTGGAGTGGGTGGGGCGACAGCCCGATGCTTCTCTTCCTCTTCCCCTTTCTTTCTCTCTCTCTCTGAAGTCAATACAAAATATTTTTTAAAATGTCAGTTGTAAGCCCACTCTTTTGCAATTTATGGCATGTCCCGAACCCGATACAACTCTGAAGACACTGAGATAAGTGGTTAACGCAGACCAGAAGGAAAGAAGAAGATTACTGAGAGTGCGCCCAGAGGGCTGGGACCAGAGCCAGAGGGTGCTGATAGAGTCTAAACCGCGTTCAGGATCTCGTTTTACAAGGGCTGGACCGGAGCTCTCCAGAGCCACAGGACAGCCCGCGTGTTATTTTTAAAGATCGGGAGGACACCGTCCCTCCCTCTCCCACCCCAGCCAATCTCTCTGCGCCCCCCGTGCTGTGCCTGCGGGTTAACCACAGAGGGCTTTGATCTGAAACCTAAATGCATCCTTCTTCCAGCGCGGACCCGTTTTCATCCTATAAAAGAAATGGCAAACGAAACTCATCTCTGTCCTTGATGTAATAATCCCTCGCCCACAAAAAGAACTCAGCTGCTCCCTGTGCCCATTTCCCAGATAAGTAGCCTCAGTTATCTTACGTTTTCTTTTCTTTTTTGTTAAAAAAAAAGATTTTATTTATTTATTTTTAGAGAGAGGGAAAGGAAGGAGAAAGAGAAAGAAAAATATCAATGTGTGGTTGCCTCTCGCACGCCCCCTACTGGGGACCTGGCCCGCAACCCAGGCATGTGCCCTGACTGGGAATCGAACCGGCGACCCTTTGGTTTGCAGCCCGTGCTCAATCCACTGCGCTGAGCCACACCAGCCAGGGCCCAGTTTTCTTATGTTTTCCTCAGAGGTCCTGGCTCTGAGTGTTTCCAGCAGCTGCTGTGAGGGGTGCTGGCTGGCCAGGAGACAGGCTCACAGGGAAGGTCGTTCTCTGCGACACTGGGGCGGGCGGCTGCCCTGTTCACTGCAGCTGAGCAGGCCCCTGTTGCAGGCGGGAAGGAGGACAGAAGTCAACAGAGGCCATCACGGAGGGCGGCGACTGAAAGGAGGCCCAGAGTGGAAAAAAACGCAAGGAGGACGAGGATCCCAAACACGGTTGTTTTTAACGGCACGGAGGTAAAGCCTTTGGAAAATACCAACACGGAACACGACCTCAGGGGAGTGGGAAAAAAAAACGCCAGCAAATTACACGTGAGCCTGAAACGGGAGAAGGCCGATGTGACCACACGGCACTCAGGCCGCACTGGAGCGCA